TGAAGGTTGCTACTACCGTCGTTTTGGGAAGATTTAGAAGAAGAAGACTTGGTTCGTGCTTCTTCCGTTCCTGTTTTAAAAACGATTATATTTAATGCTCATGGATATTAATTTTTTTCTGAATAACCTTCGAGGGCTTGTATGCCTAATTTGCCAAGTGTGGCTTAAACACTTGTACTAAATGTTTTCGCTGCTTTCAATGAACATTTTACATTATGATTGTTTATGGATGTACTATGTGTGAATGATATTCTAGACGCCTTGTATAGTATGGATGTGTTGGGCTGCGGTTGACCATTTGTACTGTACGGCGGGTTGTTGACTGTGTCCGGGTAGGTCCGGGGCGTGACAGAAAAACGGTATTGATTGAGTCTAAACATTGTTTTTATATTGAGGGAGTCCATATTTAACTTTTTAGACTCCGCATCATAAATTGAATGGACCGTTAAAAACAGAAAAGAAGTGGAGGGTTTTAAAGATGGAGAGATGGTTGACATGGTGGGGAGAAAAGGAAGGAGAAAAGAAAAGAAGGGGTTCTCCAATCTTTTTAAAATATATATCAAGACTCATAAATTTCTATTGTCTATCGTATGACACCAATATTACATAGGTGAGATTGATATCAACAATTCATACTTTTACACATTTTACAAAAATAATCCCTACCTAAAAAGTTCACAACAATAATCTCAACTAGTTAATTGTTTTACGAAAATAAACCGAGCGCTAATGGTGTTGAGTTTTCCATTATTTTTTAACTTAAATTTAAATGTATTGAATCAAAAAAATATAAATATTGACAATATTATATTTGAGTTTACTATTTTTTCTACTACAGATTTGATTTAATATTCAATATTTTTATAAAACATAATAAAAATATTTGAACACTAGGTAGTACATACTCTTAAAATTCTTTTTTCTCTTTCATTCTATATCCATATTTTATTTATATTCATTTTTGTTATTCATTATAATAGAAACTTCAAAGTAGATTTAGTAACTAAACTAAATTTTAATAGAAATTATGTAAGATATTTAATATAGATATTTCTGTTATATATATTATGAAAAATATTAAATTAAATTTTATAATATTTTCATAAACATATATTGCATTGATATATTTAAAATTTAAAAATGAAAAAGTTAAAGCCGTTAGCACCCGGATTACTTTTTTGAATTAGTTAACTAGCAGAGATTATTTGGCAAAATTAACACCAATAATCTATATTTTTACATATTTAACAAAAATAATCCCTACTCATAAATTTCACAAAAATAATCTATGCTTGGTGTAAAAGCAGGGATTATTGTAAGTTGTGTATGTTAATTTGGTATTGATGCAGTGATGTTATGCTCATTTTAAAATGTCATATAATGCATATTTTAAAAGTACCATATGACATTGGATTTCACATATTGAAATTCATAAGAGATGATTATAAATATAATTTAAGACATTTTTATAAAAGCGAAAATAACAAAAAGAAAGTGAACTAAAAGTTATGAAGCAGATATCATGGTGTTCAACGTGACACTCATAATACTCAACAAGATAGGTTTGATGCTCATTAAAAGTTCATTAATGGTCGTTTAATAGAAACCGTGATTTTCATCTCAAGAGGGGAGGTTTGATGCTCGATGATAATATATATTTAATTAACAAACCTGACGATTTTCATATCAATGTACATTTTGTAAGTTACATTTGCTCATTTGATATAGATTTTATATTTATTTGTAAATTGTCATATCAATGCATATTTCAAAAGTAGCATATTATATTAAGTTCACAAATTGAAATTCATAGGAGTGAATTATAAATATAATTTAATAAGTTTGTATAAAAGAAGGAATAAGAAAAAAAGTGAACTAGAATATATGAAGCAAAGATTGTGGTGCTCATTGTTAGACTCTTAATACTCACTAGAATAGGTCAAATGGTAACTAAAAGTACGCTAATGTTCATCTAACGGAAGTCGTAATTTTTCTCTTAAATTACAAAAATGCCACCATCTCGAAAAATTGGACTTTTTTGGATTGGGCTGTATTAATTAATGGGCCACTGTTTTCGTTAATTGGACCGGATTTCCAGGACCAAACACCATATAGGCATAGTTGGGTGCTCTAAAATTGTTACAACTACGCTAGACATATCATATCGTCTGTATACAAATTGTTGAGAGAACTTTTGGAGAGCCGGCGGTCATCCCCAACCTAATCCGATTTTCAATCTTTGCTTTCTCAATTAGCAAAATGTTTTGGAAGATGGTGACATTCTCTATGCAGTGAAAGATCGAATCAAAGGTTTTACTATGCTTTCGCTCTTTTTAATTTCTATTTTCGAGGATTTCGGTCCGACTTCTTCATTGGTAGAGAATTTTGTCCGCTTCATGTGAGCGTGTGATATGTTATTCTCCTAGCAATGTCTTTAGGTTGTATGTTTTTAATCGGTGTAATCGAGCTGGTGAACTTTCGTTAATCATGGTTGGTAAAGCTCTTTCAACCTTATTGTTATGATGCTTTAAATACTCGCCCACCACCTAAACCACCGTCTTGCTTTGGGAAGAAGAAGATCAATTGGATATTCTTTTCGGTGGCTGGTCAAACTGATGCTTCTGAAAATTTTCCGCCCGACTGATTTTCCTTTGTTGGTTGTTAGTCAAACCAATTATCCCTTTCCGGTGGCTAGCGAAGCCCGGTCTTTTAGTTGTAATTTTTTATTTTCTCTTTGAAGTAGCAAGAAGAGGAACAAAGTTGTTAGACTAGACTACATAATTGCGGGGTTAGCGATCTGGAAAGAATCATTGAATTTGTTCCGCTCTACTCCCTCCGTCCCATTTATATTGTCCCGTTTTACCTTTTCGGGAAGTCCCACTTATATTGTCCCATACTATATTTGTCAAAGTTTGTGTGGCTCTAAATCATTCTTACTTTATTCTTATTTTATGAATTAATATCAATCACACAAACTCATTTTTTTTAATAACCGTGCCACCACCTTCCGTCCCAATATAAATGGGACGGAGGTAGTATGTCTTATCTCATTCATTGTAGTCTTAAGCTATTAAAAAAAAACAAAAACAAATTGTTGAGATGCACCTTATTCTTTCCGCACTACAAAGAGGAACATTTTACTTTTTTATTTTAATTTTTTTGAAGGAACGAACATTTTACTTTTAGTCGTTTGATTATTATAAATAAATGTACGCTATAGAAAGAGATTTATTGACCATCTTTTTCCACTAAACACGTAACTTTTGATTTAACCCAATATAAAAATTTAACATTTTACATTTTATTATATCGTTAGTGTATAAATGATGATTTCCATCATCCCACATTCCCACTATAAATTTTATCATAGGGGTGGATTCGGGTCGGGCCACCCGGCCCGTGGACCGGCCCGGTTATCGGGTCCGAGTCCGAGTCCGGGTCGGGCCTAGGCCCGGGGGGTCCGGGCTCGGGTCTTACATTTGGCGAACCGGGCCGGTCGGGTCGGCCCCGGGGTCCGGGCCAAATTGTTTTTTTTTTCTTCCATTTTTTGGGGTTCCACCCGGGTTGGGCTTGATGATTAGGAGGGGTTTGGGGGGTAGGGGGGTTAGGAAAGCAAAAAAAAAAAAAGCCAAACTGGAGGCTCGGCCCGGACTCGGCCCGGACCCGGTGGCTACCCGGGCCGGTCCCAGGTCGACCAATGCTGAACCGCCGGCCCACCCGTGCCTTGGCCCGACCCGGCCCGGCCCGAATCCACCCCTATTTTATCATAATAGGTAGAGAATTAAATGTACACTATTACACATTCACACTAATTAAAAGATAATCAATGAGCACAAATACAATACTCAAAATTACTCCGTACAATATTAACTTATTGCCATTTTTTATTGTCTCACTAACTTTGTCATTTCCTTTTTAAATAATGAAAAATGCGATTCATATTACGGAGTATTTCTTTTTTTGTCTATGAGAATCTTAACCACACAGTTTTTAATTTTTTCACGCGCATAATTGTGTAATAAAAAAAGTAATGTTGGACTTGCTTTTCTAGTTGTATTAGCTGAATCATTTTAGCTGTTTTCATATTATATGTTTATGTTTTATTAAAAAAAAAGAAATCACCAGAATCATCCAATTCAACCACTTCAGTCAGAACTTTATAAATTTCAACATAATCAGCTAATACACCCAATTTGGATAATGTCAAACGGGCTCCTAATTTACACATATTTTGTACATTGAATTATGTTGAAGTTGAAAAACGATATTTATATTCATCCTTATACCTATTCTTATTATACCCATCACCATTATATAAAGGCGAGTATATAGGAGTGTTTGGAGTTGATTAAAAAAAACACTTTTCAACTTTTGGCTTAAAAAAAGTTAAAAAGAGTGTTTTCAAATGACAGTTTCTGCTTAAATTAATCACTTAAAAACTAAAAGCTGGAAGCAGGTGGAAGGATGCTTTAAACTGCTTTTCACTTTTTCTATTACACAAAAAGTACTTATTTTACCAAACACTACCAACTTTTACTTTTTCAGAATCACTTTTTTCTCAATCACTACCAACTTTTACTATTAATCACTTTTTTCTTATATTTAATAAACTATAAGGATGAATATTAATAGCAAGATTGCAATTCTTTTAAAAAAAAGTTATCAAGTAGAGACACCCAAAAAGTGTGCCGTTTACACAGCGTCAGTGCCAGTTAGGGTTGTAAACGAATCAAATAATTTTGGTTCGATTCGTGATTCGAATTCGAATATGTGTATTCGAATTCGAATAAGTAGAATACAAATACGAATACGAATCTAAAATTATATTCGAATGAATTTCGAATACGAATACGAATAGGATACTATTTGATTCGAAATATATTCGAATATATTCGAATTTCATATACACATATAATATATATATATATATACACATATAATATATATATATATGCATGGTATGTACACGTATGTATTACCATATATTTGAATGATGGTATGGTACTTACCATTTAAAGTTTAAAGTTTTAAACCCCTTAATTAGAGCCCCAAATCTCTATTCCCAAGCCCGTCTTTTAAGTTATCTAGTTCACTCCCCTAAGGCCTAAACCGCTATGGCCTGCGCATGACTCTTGATTTTCCCGTCTCTTCTCCGGCTCTTCAGTCTTCGCTAGTCAGTCGGCCGGTCCTCAGATTTTCTGTCTCCTTTCTTCTTCACCGCCGCCTCTGCAAATAACTTGCAGGTATGCTAAATTGCAACCATGTATGCTATTTCAGCGTTTAATTTTGTACGTTGGTTAATTTGTGCCCGGTGCTAAAGTTTTAGTCATGAAGTTGTTAAGTTTTTTACTTGGTGTGATGATAACTTGATAACAAAAATCATATTGTTGCTCTAGTATGCTAACGTTGATTGTACTATATAGATTGAGGAAGGAATGGGCTGCGGTGATCATTTTTTGTAGACTTAGATGGATTATATGCTGTGAAAATTGAGAAAAAATACAAAACATACCTCATAAATTCAATTGGTCAAACATATTTTACAATAAAAAAATTCGAATTTGAATATTCGAATAATTTTCGAATATATTCGAATAGACACACGAATCAAATACGAATAGAGAATATGGTTCGAATGCAAATCGAATACGAATACGAATATTGGTGAAAATATACGAATACGAATATTTTTGCTCAGTATTCGCTTCGATCCGATTCGTTTACAACCCTAGTGCCAGTGTATACAAATGCCTACACCAAATATGCTAAGCCTGAAGCCGGAAGGAGAAACCTATCCAACACAGGAGATACCGGCGATGGCAATTGAGGAAAGCGATGTGGTTATCAACGGCAATGAACAGATGCAGTTTAGTTCTTCTCCCATCTCTGCCGGCGACCTCGAGGACAAAGAGTTTATGAAGCTTATCCGCGATGCTGTTCGGACAGTACCCGTGAACGTCGTCAAAGACCTTTGGTCTATAGGGGTTCGTTCTCTTCAGCATCTCCTAGTAATGGCTTTGTTGATCATTATTTTGTTCCAAACTACGTTTTCAAACAATATATTTTTGCAATGTAGTTTTTTTTTGTTTGTTTTCGGATATATCCGAATATTTTCCAGTGCTGTTGTGTCTAGATCAATCCTTTAGATGCTATGTTTATAACATTATGTCATCTAATGAAATTAACTGCAAAGGTTTATGAATCTTTATTTATCTTCTATATCTTTTCCAAACAAAATCTAAGTTTTTTAGATGTTCAAATGCTTGATAGGAAAACACCCTATTGAGCATTCCAGTTAATTGAGTCAGCGAGTGGAATCAGTTGTATTTTTTTTTATGTGCGGCTTATATTAGATGCTTTCAATCTTATTCTCTGTTGCCTATTATGGTGCAGGTGTGTGATCGATGCATCTTTAGGGTGTTGGGCCTTCATGAGCTAATTTGTTCTCACCCTTCACTCTCAAATTCAGATTTAAGAAGTCTTTTAGAAGAAGTGAGAGTTGGAAGGGGTGAGGTTGATACTCTTGGTGAACAAGAGACGTTAACTGTTCATGCATTAACTACTGAAACAAGTGTTTGCAAAGTATGTTTAGGTGTTTTACAGTTTGAGTTTTGTGGTGGTAATGGAACATTTATGAAGAAGGACAGCGCATTTGACTTTGCCTCAGAAGTTGTTGAACTTGTTAAACAACAGCATTATCAACAAGTTGATAGTTTTTCTCTCGAAGTCTCATTGCCTCCGCTTGTAACTGAAAATGATCAAGCTATTTTGTAAGATTCTCTTGTGATCAATATCCTCCAGTTTTCTTCTGCAATCTATACTTGGATGAGTAGGTTTCATAGTTGAATTGTCATTTTTCCTCCTCGGTGGGGAGTGGGATGGCGATGTTTCACAATAAGGATTTCAGTAATGTTTATTTGTCACAGTGTAGTAGTTTACATTGTACGGCATGACTTCCCCAGAGTGTGTCGTTTTAACTTTTACGTTTATACAAATGCTATATTTGTCTTATGAATACTTTATTTTTCATGTAATGCAATGTTGCATCATTAAGTTTATACAAGTAGTTGTTGCTTGTCTAATTTTACGTGATTTCACCATGACAGAAAGAGGAGTGACAGTTACTGGTGCTACAAATTTCCTCTGCAGGTGTTATATCCAAAAGAAGTATGAATCTGACCCGTGGTTCCAACAAAAAGCTGAATCCCAATGCTTTTCTACTAAGGATGTTTTGAAATGGCTAGTAATAAAACCTCTAGAAACATTGTCGGTATATTTCCCTCTCATACATTTATATTCTTAGAAACATCAATTTCTGAATTCAACTCTGTTAACACACCAACATCAATTTGTATATTTTACATTTTTTCAAAAAGCTATGCGTAGAGAAGGCTGATATATGTATTTTTAAATTGTTGTAGGGCCTAAAACACATGGAAAGCACTTTCCGCATTCGACTCTCTTACTCCGACTCATCAAGAAAACAGAATGTTGAAAGAAATGTATGCAATAAAAGGAGAAAATCGGATTCTGCTGGCACAAGAACCACCTCACTGAAGTCACAAGAAAATTACTTTGATTATGTAAATAATATGAAAGAGAAGGTAGTTATACAGCTTTACTCATCTATCATTTCAAACTCAGTGCGAGTTTGAGTGTAGTCCCTATCAATTATCGTGAAATATCTAGGCTGCTAAATAAAGAATGTAATTTTTTGTTATAGGTTATTCAACCTTGTCAGTTGACATTTGAATGTTATAGGAGTTCCATTTATATTGGAGGGAGGTATCTTAAGGTGTGATATATTCTACTCTTTAACCTTGTTAAATAAACATACTCTTAGGAAATATCTGCTAGACGCGGATTTCCAATTTTTCTCATGCGCACGATCAACTTCCTTTCCTGTGAAAGATACATCACCACTTTAGTAAATTACATTCATTGCAACTTCAACCAACTACCTCTACTTCACCCCGTCTCATGTGTTACCAAATGAACATTGTGCAAACTGCAGTATTCAAGAAATGTTAGCCAGACTCGGTGGGTGATTGATGATGAAAGAGTGGGTGAAGCATCTGTTGAGGTACCACATTTTTCTTTCGCTAGATCTCATTTTAAAAAAACCACTTCCTTAAGGAAAAAATGACATTAATGATACTTTCTCAAGGAAATTTTAGGTGGCAGCATCCTTCCATGTTTCCAGGGCGATGGTTACAAGTTCCATGCTGCTGGTAGAGAAGATATTGATGTAAGAAAACTTAACCCAAATTAGTGTGACAATCAGATTAAGTTTCTATCATGGAACAAATCTTTTTATTTGTTCATCAGGTACGGATGTTGGGTACAGGTCGTCCTTTTCTGATTGAGATACAAAACGCACGACAAGTTCCTTCCAAGGACATTATAAAAGATATGGAGATAAAAATAAACAGTATGGAGAACCAACTTGTAAGTTAACAGCAGATTATCTGATGGAGTTAGGGGTTGCATGATACTATCTCTAAACTAGCTTTGATTTTGGTTTAGCATGGTTATTATGAAAATGAAATAATGTGGGTGAGATTTATTTATAAAAGAAAAAGTATTATCAACCATGCAATTCTGTGTTATGAGAGCCGGACTGGACCGGGCGGTTCGACCCAGAAACCGGCCACCTGGCCCCTCAACCGGTCCGTTTGAGTGCAAACTCGTTCATTGGTGTAAAACCAGAAATAACCAATAGCCCACCCAAACCCGGGACAGACTCGGACAGCTGAAAACTCGGGAAACCCGGAAATACAAACCAATCCCGCTTGATTAATGCACATTACTTCATTAAACATTTGTGCGTCAAGGGGTTTCGAACCCTGGATGCCTACCAGAGCATGCACACACCATACCATCTTACTACATGGCTGATGTGTAAATGTTTTTTTTTTCGTATACTACTCGATTAATATTTTTAGGCTAACACTACAATTATTGATTATTAATTAGTAATCATTATAATAGTTATTAGCATGCCATGGGCCTATTGCTCGCTATTATTACACTACGTTAAAAGGCTACCACATATTTATGAAGTATTCATTTGATCTTTCAATCCTACTATTAATATTTTATATAAATATTATATTATGTTGAGATGTTATCCATCTAATTCCAAGCACATCTTGAATCTTTTGAAAAAACTTTCTATATTGGTACATTAATGTTTAGCTTAATCTTATAACCATTATTAAATTTTGAATGAGTGACTTTTCTGCATGAACCTTTAATCTAATACACACACATATATTATTGTATATGTTATATTTTAGTAAACGTTGACTGGGTTTACTCGTCGTTGACCAGGCTGACCCTCCTGGGTCCAGGTTGACCTTGACCCAGTCCCTAGCCCGGGTCACCTGCTGGTCCGGTTTTGATAACATAGATGCAATTCTATTTTAAAAGGAAATGAGAAGATCATTTTGAGATGGACGAAAGCAATGTAGGAATCATTTTGGGACTGAGGGAGTATGTATTAATTGTGTTTGTGATTTGAATTTGGTTCATGGTGTGTATTCAGGTAAAGGTGAAGAATCTTGATGTTTTAGGTAACCAAGGGTGGGCAATGATGCGTGAAGGGGAAGCTGAGAAGCAGGTATGCGTGAAGGGCAAAGTTTGGAAACCAAATTTCCTATTGTGACTTTATCATCAAATTAATTTTTGTTCTGTAATTGTCTGCAGAAGCAATATTCTGCTTTGGTTTGGATTTCTCGTGATCTCAACAACGAGGATCTGCAGACTATATCATCAGCGAAGGACATGGTGTATTTTGCTTGCCCTTTTTTTACATCTCTTCATTTTCTTTACATTTTCATTTGCTTTTTATATGGGCATTCAAAATGGATTTATGGTCCTTGTGATCGTTCACTATATTTTATGCAGTATCTGATAATCATAATAAGGATCTTTGCAATCATAATGTTGTTTAAGAAAATGCATTTTTGAAAATGTTTGGCTAAAATATACTTTTCCTTTCTTAGCTCTTCTTTTTTATTGATAGACTTGTATTACCTTTTGCGTGTTGACACAATGACACTCTTTCTTTACATGATGTTGGTTATTCTCAAGTTGGGCTGTTTATGTATAACATTCTCTTTATTCAAGAATTTATGTGTTTTTTCCAGAAAATTATCCAGAAAACACCAATCAGGGTGCTTCACCGTCGAAGCCCATTGGAGCGCGAAAGGATAATACATTGGTATTAAATTTTCAAAAAGACAAATTGTGACATAAGGTTCTTTAGCTTGACCATGTCTATTTACTTGGTCTTTTGTTGCAGGATGAAATTGGAGAAGATACTAGGAAGTTCACAGTATTTTCTTCTGCATCTATGCACTCAGGTTCCTTTACCTGTACTCCATTTAACTTGTATTGTTTTACTAGTGGTCATCTAATTTCAAACTTATAACTTTTTCCTTGTATTAATAAAAGATACTGTTCCCTCATAATAACTCGTTCGGGTAGTTCCTGATAGATAAGTTTATGTACTAATACTGTAATACAACAACATTACCCTAGCGCCGTAAAGGCTCTCACCTACGGTAGGGTAAGGGGGTCAGATGTACGCAGCCTGTACAGCCTTACCCATGTACTAAAGCATGAAGAGATTGTTTCCAGATGAACCACGATGAAAATCACTTCCAAAATTGCATGGACCGAGTGCAGACAGTTTAGTGAGTCATTTTGCTTTATTCCATCATATTCCAAGTTGAAAAAAATGAGTCTCTGGCTCCATTGGAAATGATGGAAGTAAAAATCTGTTATTTGTGTTTGTTAACTTGAAAAAATGTGATGCTGTAGACTATCTTCATGTTATGTGTATTAATGTCATGATGAAAATTTGTTCATGTCAGGCTGGGACATACATTAAGGAATTTGTTCATGGAGATCTTGGACGCACTCAGCCAAGGTATTAAACAAGTTCTCATAGCAGAGTTACAATGAATTTTGAAGATGAAGCTTTTTTTGGTCCGTCAATTGTTCCTGACTGCAACAGTGCAATGCAGTCCCTCACTGTAAATTTGATTCATTCATGTCCTTTAATTGTTCTAAAAGTGGTTAAAGCAAATATTAATCGTCTAGAATATTAAAATTGTTCCAAAAGAATCACTATGGTGCTTGGGATTGAATTGACTAGGGAGACTATATTGCACCAAATTGACTGACAGAATCAGGGGAAATGAGGGAGAGGGACGAAAACAATGATTTTTAAATAAGGAAAGAGGTAAAGTTGGTTATGTATTTTGCAGTATTGGTTCAATGCTTGGATGCAGAGCAGAGATATTGCAACTTGACGTCACAGATGTGAAAATGGACTGCTTCTAGGTGGATTTTTGTCATCTGTACAAATTCTAATGCCTAAAACGTCATCCCAACCGTTTCATCACAAGTGGCATGAAGTTTATAATTTGGACAAGCAGGTTTTACAAATGGAATGTATGATTACAAATCATGTATCATTAGGCACTCTTCAGAATGATATAGAAGGCTAGTATCTGTTGCACACTAGTACTCATCGATTGAGTGTGCACCAGTTCAGAGAAAAATAACTGTTTTGTAGTTAGGGCTTATCAATCATGTTCTTTTGTTACATTTGATTCCTTATCTGAAATACTCCATAATACTCAGCATGGACCGGGACCTCTATTTCCGGTCCCCAACTGGTCCCAGTCCTGGGCTTTTTTTTTTGATGTACTTTTATGGATCGTATTTTAAGCATTTAAAAGGACCTCAACCCTTGTGAAATGTTTTCCAATGGTTTTATACTATTGCACTTGTCCTTTAAATATCTCTGGCATCCAAGCTAGGGCTGGACTCGGGCCGGGCGGCCCGACCCGGAACCGGCCCAGCCTGGTTAATGTGCTACCCGGCCCGGCCCGGTGAACTGGGTGGCTGGCGGTTCGGGTTGACCCGGCCCGGGGGAGGGCGGTTCGGGCTCGGGTCACGATATTCTTGAACCGGTCCGGGCCCGGTCCGGGCCTAACGGCTATTTTATTTTATTTTTTCTTTTCCAAAGTTTGAAGCCTTGGGCTGGCTGGTAAACGGCTCTATAGCCGTTGGGGAGCCTCCAAACGGCTCTATAGCCGTTGTTGGGGAGCCTCCAAACGGCTCTATAGCCGTTGGTGGGGGAACCTATTTATACTCCTATTTTCTATAAATTTTTTACACCTTCTTCATACAATCCTACAACTTAGAAAGTTAGAAACTTACAATTAATTATATTATATTATTATTACTTATTACAAAATGTATTAGAATTAATTGTTCTCAATTCTCAAATGTAATTCCTATTTCACATAAATGCACTTGAAAATTGTTTTATAATATCCAAAATTCCCAAAAAGATGAATATTTTAACATTAAAAAAAAAATATATATACAGGCCCGACCCGACCCGACCCGGCGGTTCACCCGGCCCAAACTGGCACCCGTCTATTAGCGGGCCGGGCCTGGGCCCAACTTCTGCAAACCGAGGCCCGGCCGGTTCGAGGCCCGAACCGGACCGAGTCCAGGCCTAATCCAAGCATTGCACTTGTTTTATCGTACTTTTCTTACTTTTGAAAGAGGGTTAAGAGGCTATAACTTATAATAATAAAAACATAATCATGTTTTCAAAATGCATCTTATATTCGGAATTGGAGTAGGTAAAATAAGTCCAATTACTCTACGGTGCAATGGTGCATGCAAATATGCAATATTGCTTAATGTTGAAAACTATGTAAGTTGGATTATTGAAGTTGCTATTTGCCAAGGGGGGAACATTCTTAGCCATTGAGTAATACATGTGAAATAATGGGAAAGGTTACCCAATAGGGTACCTGGCAGATATATTTATACTAATAAAAGTTTCCAAAGATACAAAGGATTCCTAATTTAATATTAGGCTATTACACCCCCTCAAACTGTGCGGGAGATACAACGCGCAGGTTGTCTTTTAAAAAATGAAATTGCTGACTAGAGAGACTTTTAGTAAATATATCTGCTAACTGTAGACTGGTAGGAACATATTGAACAACAAGATCACCATGAGCCACACGTTCACGAACAAAGTGATAATCGATCTGGATGTGCTTACTCCGAGCATGCTGAACAGGATTGGCTGTCAAGTAGGAAGCAAAGATATTGTCACAAAACAAACGTACCGGTGTTGTGACTGGAAAACCAAGCTCGAATAGAATGGACCGAATGTGTATTGTGTCTTGCACTGTGTATGCGATGGCTCGATACTCTGCTTCTGTAGAGGATTTGGAAACAGTAGCTTGCTTCTTTGACTTCCAAGATACAAGATTTGGCCCAAGAAAGACTGCGTAGCCGGTGGTGGACCGAGAGGTATCGGGACATCCGGCCCAATCTGCGTCTGAATATGCCACAATACAGGTTGCCTTAGGTGTAGGCTGAAGCCAAAGACCATGATCAATGGTACCCTGCAAATATCTAAAAATCCTCTTGACAGCAAAAAGATGAGTGGTACGTGGGGCATGCATAAATTGAGAAACCAAATGCACAGCATAAGTAATATCAGGTCTTGTCAAAGTTAAATACTGTAATGCACCTACCATACTGCGATACTCAGTCGCATCTGCAAGGAGCTCGCCATCAGTGAGAGATAAGGAAGTACGAGACGCAAGGGGAGTGCGAACTGACTTGACGGTGTGTAAATGAAAACGAGATAAAAGATCAGAGACATATTTATGATGGGAGAGAAACAAACCTTTAGGATTACGAATGGCCTGAATGCCAAGAAAATAGTGAAGATCACCCAAGTCTTTCATGGAAAAATGGTGAGCAATAAGATGAATGAACTGAGTGACAACAGACGAGGAATTGCCAGTAATAATAATGTCATCCACATATAGTAACAAATAAATAATCGAAGTGCCCTGGCGGTAAATGAATAGAGAGTTATCTGACTTACTACATAAAAAATTATGAGAAAGTAGGAAACTACTGAACCTATGAAACCATGCCCGCGGGGCCTGCTTAAGACCATAAATAGCCTTGCACAGACGACATAAATGATGAGGATACTGAGGATGAATAAAACCCCGCGGCTGACGCATATAAACTTCTTCAGTGAGATGACCATGAAGGAAAGCATTTTTAACATCAAGCTGACGCATAACCCACCCGAATGAAATAGCTAAAGTGAGAACAGTACGAACAGTGGTGGGTTTAATAACAGGACTAAAAGTTTCAGAAAAATCTACACCAGCCTGCTGATTAAAACCCTGAGCAACTAATCGTGCTTTGTGGCGCTCAATAGACCCATCAGAAAGAAATTTTGTCTTATAAATCCACTTAGATCCAACAATATTTTTAGAATTATCAAACGGTACCAAATCCCAAGTGTGATTAGCAATGAGTGCATTAAATTCCTCAGCCATAGCCTTACGCCATATCAATTGTTTATTTGCCTCAGAAAAACAAGTAGGATCCGCTGACAGAGCAACTGTGTTTAAATTAAAAATAGTCTTGGGTTTAAAAATTCCAGATTTTGCCCGAGTTTGCATCGGGTGGACATTAACAGGGGGTGGAGTGTGCTGGTCGGGCTCGGTTTCTCGACTGGTGGCTGAGGCCGTAGATGTGGTGAGGGGTGGGCTGAGTGGGTAAGATGGACTGGGGTCTGATAGTGGGCTGGTTAGTGGACTGGATTCAGCCGAGGAGGAGACGGGCTGGGTTCTGTCCAGTGTAGGTGGTTGGGTCGTTGTTGGCGGGCTGGTCAGTGTAGCTGGGCTGGGCGGGCAGTGTGTTGGGCTAGAGTGAAGGGGCTGGATGGGGTTATGGGGCTGATTCGGAGTTGGAAAAATAGAAGGCTGGGTTTGGATTGTGGGTTTTGAAGATGGATGAATCCAAGAGGAAAAATGGAGGGAAGTGTGGGAAGGAGAAGGTGTATCATGCATGGTAGAGGTCAAAATGGTGTATGGAAAAATGTTTTCACAAAAACGCACATGTCGACTTATGTAAACCTTGCCGGTCTTAGGATCAAGACAACGATAACCTTTATACCCAGATGCATAGCCCAGAAAAACACATTGAATAGAACGGGGAGAAAGTTTATTTGCGGAAGTGGCAGAAATATTTGGGAAGCATGCACAACCAAAGACACGTAAAAGAGAATAATCGGGTGATTTTTGAAAAAGTTTTTCATAAGGGGAGAGACCAGACAGTGTTGGAGTGGGTAATCGGTTAATAATATATACAGTTGTGAACAACGCATCGACCCAAAAAGTACTAGGAAGAGATGCTTCAATAAGCATGGTCCTAGTAAGTTCAAGTAGATGTCGATGTTTACGCTCAGCAAGCCCATTTTGTTGAGGAGTGTAAGGGCATGATTTTTGAAAATAAATTCCATGAGTATCAAAAAAATGATGCATATTAGAATTAACAAATTCACCCCCTCCATCACTTTGAAAAATTTTAATTCTAGAGTCAAAAAGATTTTCAACTAAAGATTTAAAATTTTTAAAGGAGTCCAAAACTTCATTTTTTGTGCGCAATGGATAAATCCACGTAAAACGAGAAAAATCATCAATAAAGCAGACATAGTATTTAAATCCCAAATTTGAGAGAACAGGAGACTGCCACACATCAGAATGAATTAATTGCAATGGATAGGAAGAGGTATGAATAGCATCTGAAAAAGGTAATCGTTGGGATTTGCCTAACCGGCAAGAAATACAATCATGAGAAAAACTAGAACTATTACATATGCGTTTTTGACCACTTAAAATACGTAAAATATTTTCACCACAATGACCTAATCTACGATGCCACACAGGGCCAGTGGTCAGAACTGAAGATAAGGCTAAACTAGATGGTGGACTCAGGCTGAGAGGATAGAGATGGCCATTAGTTGTTGCCCGAAGAAGAACCGCCCCCGAAATTTTGTCCTTAACAAAAAAGGAATTTTTGTCAAAAATGGCAACACAGTTGTTATCAGCACACAATTTTTGTATTGAAATTAAATTGAATTTAATATGAGGTACATGATAAACAGATTTCAATAGCAGTGGGCGGCCAGAGGAATTTAAAGAAATATCACCAACATGTTTAATGGGGAGTTGAGCACCATTAGCAACACTAACAATAGTTGGACCAGAATAAGTAGATTTATTTGTCAAAATACCTTCAGAGGAAGTCATATGAGCAGAGGCACCAGTATCTGGATACCACAGAGCTTCATTAGCTTGACCGGTGAGAAGAACAGGTGCAGTGGGTGGAGAAAAACGAGACGGACAGCGGATTGCAGAGAAACAAATTTGACACACAACGGGTGGAGGAATTGCCCCAAGAATTCCCTCAGTAGATGGAGAGCCTGCAGACTTGACATTAGTACCACAAAATGATAAAGCATTGGTATTTAATGTGGACAAAACAGAATTACGTATACCATCTGCATTCGGAGATCTCAGGTGTTGCTGTGCTCCAGGCTGTGGACCGAAGCCATGTTGTTGCTGATGTTCCTGGCCGAACACCTGCTGCCCACGTCCCAGATGTGGCTGATCATGGCCGTAGGGTTGCTGGCCAGATTGGTTAGGCCCGCGGCCCCTGCCGCGACCTGTTCTGCCGCGGCCACCTCTGCCGCGGCCACCGCGGCCACCTCGTTGTGCTGCACCTCGTTCTTGAACTCCAAAGGCTTGGTATGCAGGGGGAGCGGTTTGTTGACGAAGATAAAGAACCCTCTGTTCAGCTTCTAACAGACTCCGGTGAAGAATATCTGGCGGAAAATTGTCAGGAAAAAGGGAAATAGTGCCCATAGTGGATTCATACTCAGGCCCGAGCCCCATAAGAGTGGTCTGAAGCACTTCCTTATGAGACATAGGGGAATTTATTGCAGCCAGTTCACCAACTAGGACATGAATTTCCCTTAAGTAACTTTCCATAGAGTGATTTTCCTTCTTTTTGGTATTAGACAACTGGCGTTTAAGAGTCATAGACCTAGCCAAACTAGCAGATCGAAATCTATTTTGCAATCTTTCCCAAATCTCAAAAGAATGTTTAAGTTCATGTACATCAATTAATACATCACGAGTAAGGGTAGCAAAAATCCAAGAACGAATAGTTTGATCAACCCGTAGCCAATGATAATAGTCCGTATTAATGATTCGGTGATTATTAAAATCAACCGTGTACATTGGAGGTACCTGTGTGGAACCATCCACGAAGTTAAACACCCCCTGAGAGACTAGGAAAGATTCAATCTGAGTACGCCATGTGATGTAGTCTTCTACCGCCTTGAGTTTGATTGTAACAATCTGAGTTACATTATTTGCCGGGGCGATGGATTGAGCGGCAGCGGCCATCGGAGATTGAAACAGAGAAGTATCTGTCGGCCGAGATAAGCCAGGAGTACCCGAGAATAGTGCTGGACTCGGGCCGGGCGGCCCGGCCCGGAACCGGCCCGGCCCGGTTACTGTTAGGCCCGGCCCGGCCCGGGGCCCGGTGGGTCCACCGGTTCGGTTCGGCCCGGCCCGGCTGCTGGGCGGTTCGGGCCCGGGCCCAGGTTTTGGTGAACCGGCCCGGCCGGTTCGGGCCCGGTCCGGGCCGGATTTTAATTTTTTTTTTTTTTTTTTTGAAATTTTTTTAAGTTTTAGGTTGGATTAGGTATTTTGGGCCATTTGAGGTGGTTTGGGATGGTTTGGGGTTGAGGGGGAGGGGTAGGGGATTAAATAGGAGACCAAAAAAAAAAAAAAATTAAGTGGGCCGGTTCGGCCCGGCCCGGCCCGGCCCGGTTTGGCCCGGAACCGGAACCGGAACCGCCCACCGGCGGTTCGGGCCCGGGCCCTAGTTTTCTGGCCCGAGGCCCGGCCGGGCCCAGGCCCGAACCGGGCCCGAACCGGCCCGAGTCCAGCCATACCCGAGAATGTAGAGCCAAAGTATCCTGGACTGATGTGTGCCGGTTGCAGGGCAGAGACCATTGGGGTTGAGTAGAGGCTGTCTGGATTTGGTAAGGCAGTCGGTTGCCATGGGAACACCGGAGGTATTGTCCGAAACAAGGAATATGCTCCATCGGTACAGAATGGGGAGGAAGCAATGTTGACAACCGAACTGGCTTGAGATGGAGGCACCTGCTGCGGCGCTGGTGATGACAACGGCCGCGTCGGTAAAGGAAGAAGGAACCGGCGCCGTGGTCAAGGATGTAGGAGCAACGGTGAAGGCGTCCATGGAGGAGCCAGAGACTTCGGCGGAGGAGGAGTCTGCGGCCGAGCTCATAGCGTGAAAGATCGAGGGTTTAGAGGAGAGAGGAAAAAAAAAAATTAGGCTCTTGATACCATGTGAAACAATGGGAAAGGTTACCCAATAGGGTACCTGGCAGATATATTTATACTAATAAAAGTTTCCAAAGATACAAAGGATTCCTAATTTAATATTAGGCTATTAATACATGTATAAGAAGAATGAGAATAGTAGTAACGATATTTTAAGTTCTGCAACATAAATAGTAACGAGAGTTTCATGGAAATTCATTTCAACTGAGAAACAAGAACAAGAGGCACATCGGCCCAAAATGAAAACAGATGTGAAGTTGTGAACATTCATGGTAAGGTCAATTCACTCATGAACATCACTAGAAAATAAGATAACAAGCCGAACTGTGTTGCAGGTGAATCCAATCATCAGCATAATGAGTTCTAGATCTCTCCTGTTTCGACCTAAAAAATCTGATGAGATCAGACAACATATATACTAACAAAAGAGATCCTGAATACACAATTAAGACCATCACTTTGCCTTGGCACAGTTATGAAGAAAATCAATTATATGGCAACATTGATGAAAAAAGAAATAGCACTACATGAACCATACAATTATCCAAATAAGGAAACGAGAAGAAAATTATAAGACATAACAAAAAGACTAGTGAAAGAGAAAGTCGTGTCATGTTTCTCCTTATTTGCACAATCCCAGTGAAAGTGTCACTCACTAGAAGAGCATCATTTTTTGGTACATCGGACAATCAACATAAAGAACCAAGCTATGGTCTGACAATCTCTAAACTGTTGGTGTTTTCCCATAGTATTTGTTTTAGTCCATGGGGTGGACTTGAAAGAATTGTGAGACCCCCAGGGGGGCTGAGTGTGTATTGTGCTAGTTTAGGCGATTTAGTTTCCCCATCATCACTATGTAATATTACCTCCACTGAAATGTTATGTTCACTTGAAGGAAGGTCATCAATCTATTCAACCCAGGTTGCACCCATCACCTTAGCCATAAACGCATACCGGTCTGCAGCTTCATCAATCTGCAGCACCATAAAAATCAAGCCAACTTTGTAGTACTTCGTATTTTTAATTCTCAAGGTATAAATGAAACCTTCAAACTACAGAGGGAAAAATAATACATAGTATTAAATAAAAGTAAAATTAAATGGCTAACCATTTTTTGTGTTGGAAGTCCTGCTCCATGTCCAGCTTTACGTTCTATCCGGCCGATAATGGGGTTAACCTGGGGGCTTTTCTCCAGGCTTGAACATAAAACATATTGCAAGGTCTGGAAACAGAAACCGAAAACGGTATTTGAGATTAAATCATGGAGTGAAGTATAAATTCTAACCCCAGACTCTGTTAAGATCATTCAAAACTCCAGGAATAAAAAACACCCTTGCGTAGATTCAAAATGAACAAAACAAGAATGTCATGTTTCCAGCTTCAAATTTATAGTTAAACATTTAGCATTGGTGTCGTTGAATGACTTTAGAGGGGAGCAGAAGAAAGTGGATCATGTGGTGTGTTTTTGGTTGAGTTAGGGTGATCCCCCCCAAACTCATTTGAACCAAACAAGGGGTTATATTATATTCTCAATATTTTGTCTACAACCAATCCCTCAAAGGCTGACAGCAAAGACAAGTATTTTGAACCAAAACCTTCGTCACAATTGCCTGCTTCAAATGGAGTTTATCTTGCTATATTAAGTAAAGATGGATAAATGGTGGGAGAGGATACAGCAGAGATGAATATGACCTCAAATCAATGCACCCCATGAAATGATTTAGAGTGGAGTTGTGTGCCTACACGAGGTGTAAGAACTAAGAAGAAACCTACTTGTGCAACTAACTACCTAATGGGTACCCACCATTTTCTGACTAGTTATGTTTTGACTTGAAATGATAACTTTTCTCAGGTCATGGTAGCGGAATCCAAAGTTAATATTGTAGCAGGTCATGGTTGGTTGTGCTAACCTTTGTGATTCTTTTTTTGTAAAACACAGTCAGCTAAAAGGAAATACAAAAATGAAAATTCTCAATTATTCTCAATTGTGGCGAATTTACTCAAGCAATACTAGGAATCAACAAGGCTAAAATACATCTACTCAAATTCAATTTTCAAGAGACTATGAATGTAAACATTTTAAAACAGAAGAGATAAAAAATTAAGTCAATTGAGTTTACACACCGCCAACAATTTCAACGAATGTAATGGCACGACCCTATCATCATGATCAGCTGTCAATAGCATGATTGATGGGTATTGTGAAGCTTTACTGGGAGTTTCTTCTTCCCATGGTCTTCTGACATTATGTAGCGGTGAGTACCTGAGAAGAAAATTGGTAAGGAATACACAAGAACTTTAACTTCATGCATAACAACCACAACAACAATGATAATAATACAGGATATAATCAGAAAGGAATTAGCAAAGCCTGATAACTACTTGATCAGCCAATTAAACTCTTCCTCCTTATCCGAACACCCAAAATCAGATGTCCATGCATGGCCTGGAAAAAGGATAAGAAGTAAAGAGAGGAAAAAATAATTAAATATACCCTAACTTTTAGCACATCTACAATTAAGCTCTTCAACAGAATTCATCCAATTAATGGTCACACCCCTCATATTTGGTGTAATGCCATCTACCAAATATGCTATGCCTATATTCTATTGTTAGTTAATGAAGATATATTCTCAATCTAGCAATGAACGACTGCAAATGCAAAAATATTTTCTCTTTAAGTACACCCCAAAAGTCCAATTTCCCATTTGGAGTTGCACAAATACCACCACCGCACAGTCATGCCATTTGATCACGACAGGGATGCAATTCATCTTCGCTTATCATGCAATGAGCTCAAGGGAGCAAAAGTTTTCACTGATTCTCATTAATAGTCATAGTGTTAAACAACATCCCTAGTTGCTCAAAAAAGATACAACTGATTGGATGCAAAAGGTAGGGTCCCTTTGGAGAAGACGAACACAAAACAGTGTTCATCAATTAATTCTTTCACAACAGTCCTTTTTGCAAATATTTTCTTGCTATTGAAATTACTTAAACATGAAGAAAAGTTATAAGGAAACTAACATAACTAATAAGGAGTAAAATTTTAAATAGTTCAAAAGTTGAAATATTAGCAATTTTAATTTTCATTGTATTTTGGGTGTACAGATCAGTCATTTCCATGTAAAAACGGATTCAATACCATTAACAGACAAATCTATCAACTCAGTCAATTAACCAGAGACTCATAAAACAGTAAAATTGGATGTTTTTTTGTTGAGAGCCTAACTACATCAGTGCTAAGAGTTCAAAAACTTATTTGACCCCTTTTCCATAAAGTAGTAGTTCCAAAACTTCACTCACCAATTGTAAACTTGTGAAATCTAAGCATGTCCATAACACCAACATGTGCAAGGCCACATCCAAAAAGATCAGGTCTCTATAAACCATCAAATCCAGGAGTACAGTTAATTCCCTAGTAACCGTAACTCATTAAGGAAATATGCAGAAACGAGAATTGATGTAACATACTTGATTGATGCAAGCTCCAACGAGAAGCCCACCATTGCTTCCACCTTCAATACACAACTTGCTAGGCTTGGTGTAACCAGAAGTAACAAGATACTCCGCAGCAGAAATGAAATCATCAAAGCAGTTCTGCTTTTTTGAAAGAGCACCTGATTTATGCCATTCTTCTCCATATTCCCCACCACCGCGAATATTTGCTATGCAGAAAACAACACCTAAGTTCTTCGCAATCACTAGCCGGGCAGCAGAAAAGTATGGTGTAATACTAATGTTAAATCCACCATATCCATACAATAAACAAGGGTGCGATCCATCCAAAGAAATATCTTTTTCAGCTACTATAAACATAGGCAAAGAAACACCATCTTTTCCAGGCACAAAAACCTATGAATGAGAAGCATCAGTTAACAATAAAGTAGTAATAATACTAATAAATGCTTCAACCACAATCCGAAAAAAATGCCTACTTGATTGACATGGAATTCTGATCGATCAAAGCCTGGGACAACTGTTTCACGGAATATTTTCATTTCTGGAACATCAGTCTGAAGGTTGCACTGATAAATAATCCCAGGGATAAGGAAGTTTGTAAAACCAATAAAAACTATGCTATCTTTGCGACGAGCAGAAATTCCAGACACTGTTCCAATATCTATTGGCAAATGGTGCTTCAGGATACCTGTATCTATATTCCTCAACTGTAAAACATGCTTCACATCACGCAAATAGCTTACGACCAGTTGATTCTTATTCACAGCTACAGCAGATTCAAGCACATCTTTTTCATCCTCTTCAATCACATCAGACCAAGAACCAGATTCTTTAATATCTGACCTAACTATTTTATACTTGGGAGCATCCTTGTT